TTAATGACAGGTCATGAGTTCTTTAACTCTTGTATGACTTTTTAAAGACTGAATTGTGGAGCTGTATAATAATGAGATTCAGTTTATGCAAATGTTGTAGAAATCAGTGATTTGAACAAAACAATATCTATCTGCTGGTTTTTTATCTACTAAAGAGGTTTGTTTACACATGCATGCTGGTTGTGGTGAATAACAGAAGTTATGATACAAACAAATCACTTTTTCTGTAATAAAGCAAGAAGTTAAATTATCATAACAAAATTGAAGAGGTTTTTTTTATTTTATTCTTCCGCTACTAGACACAAACTTGGTCTTCTCTATCTTTTTCAAACCATTTATGTTAAAATTATTTGGGGTTCATTTAATGAAGACTATTAATTGTTAATTTTCAGTCTTCTGAGTAAATCTGTTGCATATTGCCTTATATTCTGGCTTTAACAGATTAGAAATACTGGGAATCAAGACCTTCTACCCAAGTATACGTCATTTACTCAATGTGACATGCCATAAACTGTTGCTTCCATTAAATATCTGGCAGTTCTTAAGGAGTAGATTCTGTTTAGGTTTAGATAACTTCTTTAGTAAAGATTATTTCATACAAGTAGTGTGTGTATAAAAGCCTGGCTCTGGATTTTATTGAAATCTTAATAGTTTGGTTCATCTTTTTTCTGAAAGCCTACTGTGTAATTTGCCCAAGTACGTGCTATAGTGCTCAAAAAGAGATCTCTTTGGATCTGCATTGTATGAAATTATATACTACCTAAGTCTTCTTAGTTCGCTTAGAATTTGCATAAATGTGTGCAGCGCATTTGAAAACCCATGGAAGTTTATAGTTTAGTTGGAAGCTTAGCAAAGTGCAATCAATCATTATGAGAAACTATGTCTAACTTTACACTTACTACTTGAGTTCTGCTATGATTTTCTTGAACATGTATGTACTATAACTTTTTTTCAAAGAGCCTAACAGCCCAGCTGATTAATTTTCCGTTAAATTTGGGCAGTTGATTCAGAGAAAACTCCAGGCAAACTGACGTTCAAAACAGTAGTTAGATTTTTTTTTTTGCCCACCAAGGTGTTCTGTGTAACTATAACACAAAGTTTGCCTGACATTCTCCATGGTTGATGCTATCCTGTGATATCTGAAGTTGAAACAGGAGTCTTAAATGACTGAAGTGCCATAGGGAAATAAAGGACTAACAGTACATCTGTCAACTTTAACAAACTTTCTAAAAATGCTGGAATGGATTTGCATGCTATAAACATGACTAGTAATGTTTTACCCAGTGTAATGAAGGGCTCATAATTTATATTTAGAAAGAATAGTATTTGTGTCAAAAAGCGGAAGAGGTCTGTTAGCTGCATATCTACAGTATGTTAGACTATGAATCTATAGTTAAATAATGTGATTTATAAATCTGTAGAGATATATTATGCATGTGTAAATTCATCAAAAGTACTCATACAAAATTCTATTCAAGTTTTAGGTCCATGCAACGTTTACAAATTGTATATCTGAAAACAAATGCTTATTATAATAAATATGAACATTATAAATTAATCTCAGAAATCCTGTGGAATTTCCCATAGATGTTTGTAGTGGAAGGTTTTCACAATGATAATTATTTAATTGTTTTATCAGAATGAAAAAATATCCGATCTGAACTAAGTATCATTTTATAGAGTACTTTAATGAGAAGATTCCTTCCTTTTGCTTGACAGTGAAAAGCACCACACACAAAAAAACCAGCAAAAAATACTTTTTCATGGTAAACACCATATAAATTGAAAAAAGCAAGAAGTATCAACATGAATGTTCCGTAACGTTTTTTCAAATAGGCCTAATTGTTTTTGATAAAAATTGTGTCTTAACATTGGGCTTGTTAGGAGCGGGGCATTATTACAGAGAAGTTAAATTGCATTGATACTGTGGGTTAAAATAGGAGATCTGAAAAGTACTTCTTTGTAAGCTACACTGTACATTGGTTAGATTTTTTGAGTAGCTACCGAAAAGATTGACAGCTACGTTAATGGTGGTGAATGGGTCTTTAATATGTTTTGACAAGAACTATGCCAGTTACAGAAGGGGACACATTGAGTTGCATCTGAAGCAGGTTCTCTAAGACCGTTTGTCTCAAAACATACAATATGTCTCTCTAATAGTAAATAGAAATATGATGGAATGATTCTTGATGGTTGGACTTGATGATCTTAGAGGTCTTTTCCAACCTATGATTCTATGATTTTTGTGCAGTGTAATTACAAGTGCTAAAATAATCTCCTTTGCAGAAGAAGTGGGTTATTACTGCCTAAAATAGGTTGAACATGTTTGGATTTTCAAAGCATGAGTTCTTCCACCGTGTTATTACAAAAAATAAAGATATTAAGAAATTTATTTATTTCTTAGCAAAAATTGTTTTTTTGCCATCAGAGGAGGCCTGCATCATGCTAGCTATCAGGGAGCAGCAATGACTGGCTGGGCTCTGAGAGCCAGGAGAGGAGGGGGATGACCCAAATGGCAGGGGAGGGACCTTGGCAGCCGATGGCCATCCTCCTGCCCTCAAGGGAGGCAAGTGGGGCAGGCACCAGAGCGACAGTCTGGTTCCACTGAGAGTCCAGGTCATCAGGCAGGTAAAGCCTTTTAGTGCACCCAGTGCCCTGACACTGGTTGGCTAAGGAACAGTAGAATTTCTGCTCAATTTGTATTAATTTATGTCCTGATGTACTTATTTTTTCTTCCTGAAACATTTTTGTATTTTGCTTCTTCATGTGATAGATTTATATTGGAGAAATTCTTAGATTTTCATAAGAAGAAATTACTATTGACCATCTAAAACAGTATTTGAAAGCTGAATAATCAAAGGTTGCTTTTTCCCCCATAAACCAAAACTGAAAGGAATAATTACCTTGTTTTGACAAGGGAACTGAGGAAGTATGACATAGAAGTCTTACAGGAATGCACACATGAAAACTAGGCTGTCATGTTTACAAGGTGATTTTTTTCATGTGATGAATTTTTCAAACAGTGAGTGGTCTGTAAACTATACTGATATTTTTCTGAGGAACGCAAGTTTCTTTTGGCTACCCTGTAAGCAGAAGAGTTAAGAATAAATATAAAATGATTGTGCAGCTATTGTATAAAAACTTTGAATCATTCCAGGCTGTTACTATTTCTGCATTACATGTATCTTTTATACAGTACATTTTACACCAATCATTGATTGTTCTCCAAGCATAGCTGAATAAAAGATGGGTTGGAGTTACAGGTATTGAATGGAGTTAGCATCACATCCTGTGTAAACTCTGAGATATTGCTGAAGAGAAAAGGAAGTGAATTTGTGTAACCATGTCTGAATATAAGTAGTATCATACGTGAGTGAACAACTGTATTTTCAATATTCCTTTTATCTCAATTCTGTAAAGTGCCATTTAGTGTTTTTTCCATTGGTTGCATAACCTCCCAAGTTGGCCTACTGTTTTTTTGCCAGAGCAACTGATATTTCAACATTTGGGAGAGTGCCTTTTAACTTCTAATTACAGTGTCTTTAATTGCAGTAACATCTGTTAAGATACTTTGAGTCTTATATTCAAAGACTGATCTTCCCTCGATGTCTTACGTGACGTACTTGGATGTAAACCAAACTTTTTAACCAGAAGGGTGACTGCATATCAGCTACGTTCTAGAATGTTGAAAGTGTTTGAACTGTTGTTTGCAAAGGGATATTCTGTAGCTTCTGAGAATTTAAGAAAATTATATATCCATGAAATATTTCATAGTATTGTGCTTGCTGTTAATTCAGATGTGTGAGGTGCTGGGCTTTAAAGGATCTTCACGTTTGTTCTAACTTGGTTTTGAAAGAGCAAAACCAGTATCAGAAGTGTCATTTCTGCTGAAGAAATGTGCAGTTCTGCTACTTGTACGTCTACATTTATATTTGACAAAAAACTATCATCCTGACCTTGCATCTTGACCAGATGTTCTTTTGGAGCATGTGTCTTGTAGACCATTCACTTAGAAAAACTCTCAGTCTATTTTTCTGGCAGTGCCTCTAGGTAAATTTCCAACCAACACTGTAATTGCTTCATAAAAGAATATTGCTTGTAAGAAAAATTGTGTAGTTATTAATTCATTACATTTTGTTGCCCAAACATTATGTGGATCCAAATAGTTATGTTTGTTTCTCAAGTTGCTACTGTAATATGAGTAGAATTATTAAATACTAAATGGTGAAATTTACTGGTTATTGAGAAGTTTCCACTTCTTACGTGATTTTTTCTTTTTACTTCAGTAGCAAGTTGTCACTGCGTGTGAAACCAACTTCATTATTTCTCAAAAAAGAGAATACAGAAAAAACAGTAAACAGGAAAAAATAACTCTGCTAGTGCTTTGCTTCTGCTAGAAGGACTCCTGGGAAGTAGTGTCTTAGTTTGAGTAAGGCCAGTGGATTTGACCTGTGTTTCGGCAAAGTATTTCTGGAGTAAAATGTGTACAAAGTAAGATGACACCAGTTTCCGGTACATTATAATGTTTTGTTCTGGATTTTTATGTTCTAGTTATTTGCAAACGTGTGTTTATTTTCCAGAAAGCATTTACTCCTTGGACAGAAATTATAAGCACACAGAAGATAAATTTGCCCTCTAGTGTATTTATTTTTATAGTTTCCAGTTATTGTAGTGAGAATTTTCTTTCTAAATCTTAAAAAAAAAATAATGAAGAAAGTTATTGCTCTGATTAAGGTAAAAAACTGATTTTTTTTAAACCAAAAAAAATGGAAGGTATTATAAAATACTATCTGCCTTTATTTTACAGGTGTCCTTCTCTGTAGCACTCCACTCAGAAGCAAGTACAAGATTTACTGTTCATCTCTGATTTTATAATTCCCTGCATAAACACTTCCCTTATTAATCTAAGTATTTCCAAGGATGAAAATATTGTGTATTGTGGTACTTCTAGTCTGAATGTTTCATTATTCAGCCACTTTTCTATACCTGTTTTACAGATTCTGAAAATGGAATGGGGAGGAGAGTATTCTCTTGATTCTTCCAATTTAGACTGTTTGTTAGATGTCCTTCCTGGAGAATTGGAGTTTCAACAAATCCTGAGTGATCTTGATGAAAAAATAAAGAAGAACTCTTCTAGGTAAAGAGCATTTTATTTGTATACTAGTGAAAATCATTACATTTAGGAAGAAATATGGCTTTTCTTTTCTTTCTTTTCTAGTTGCAGGTTAAAATTTTGATAATTATTTCAGTAGTAATTTTACCGTAACCACTTCAACATTTAACAGATTTTTAATACAATACAATTTTTGTGCTATAGTCTTTCTCTGTATGGTATTTTTAACAGTTGAATCATCTTAATCTTAGGAATTAATGCAGTAGGTATGATAGGGGAGGAAAAAAATGTATATTCCCATGACAGTTGTATTTCCTACAGCTATGAGATAGAATTTTTGCTCACTGAAAGAGCTACAGAATTTCACAAAAAAAGCAAAATTTGAACTCTGGATGTTCTTTAAGCTTTTCTAATGGAAGCAGAAAATGCAAGTAAGTTAGTATATATTATCTTTCTTATACAAGCCATTATTTTACCTATTTCAGTTAAAACTGTTATGCTGCTGTGGAAGATTTCTAGCTAGAATTTGTATTGTAATATATTTCATTGCACACTTCTTTGTAACACTGGTTTCCAAAAATCCATGCCATAGAAACAGTGGAGTACTGAAAGAGTTGTTGTTTGATGCGGATTTTTTGCATGACTACAAAAACATCAGCGCAAGGTTTTGTGCCTTATTGGAAAAGTGATAGTGGTGTTTTGTGGCTAAACTGTTTAGTACCTGTAAAATCCTTTGATCTGTTAAAGACGGCCTTGAGCAAATAAACTAATTGCCCCTTTAAAAAAATGAAGTGCACATTCAGAGACATAACAAATAGCGTAATTTTGCATTAAATTTTGAGAATGCTTGCCTTTGAATAACGGTGCACGTTATAGAGTTGTATGATTTCAAAGAATGCCCTTCATGACATCTGTTTTAAGATTGTGTGATTTTAATGAAGCCCACATTTGTGAGAGGTCTTTGTCTGCTCCCACACAGCTTCCTGAAGAATGGAGATAAACCGTTGCTGTATCTCACTGAAAACTGATTTAGGTCATCTCTGAATTATTGTTATATTGCTTACTCCAGGCAGAGAGATTTTTAAAGCTTTGTATTTATCTTACTCTTATCTCACATTTTGAACATTTTCATTTGAAAACTTAGTGTTTACAAATGTAGTTGCAATAGCAGTAATCCCAGAGTACCAATGACAGTGAAGATCTGGGAAATATGCTGTTGTGGACCACTGCATAGTGCAATTTCGTATTAGAGTTTTCCAGCTGTTGACATCAGTGAAATGTAGATACTTACTTATAGTTTGGTTGATGTCATAACACAGTTATAGATACTTAAGTTTTGAGTTGCTGTGGTCTTGTATGTCTGGGAAAAAACAGCATCAGCATTTTTGGCAGATGTGTTGTTGCCTCTTCAACTACCAAATTAAAGTGATTTTGTCGTCGTTATGCAGAGCCAGCCTGAGAGTTAGAAAGATTATTATCACGATGTGTCTTTGGAATGCACGCTTTACTACTATTTTTGTTTTTAATGTGTTTAAAATGTATGCTGCTGCTGGAGAAAACTTCTGGCTGTGGGAAAGTAGGCCAGCTGTTCACTCCTTTTAATCATACTTTGTATCAGTTAGCATTTTATGTTACACTTCACATAAACATCATCCCAGTGGAATTATTTGTACATTTTTAAGAAGGCTAATTGTCCCTTTCCTATGTACATAGTCCTACAAATTAGGAGGGCCTTTCACTCTACGTTTTGTAAGATCCAAATGGTATTTCATCCAAGGAGAGCAGGAAATTGGATTAGGGTCTGGTACACAGCAACGCATGTCAGGAAAAGCTTTGTGTTTCTGCTGAATTGACACTTGAGCTAGTTTTTAAACCAATTTTCACCAAGAAAATCAGAAAGTAGCCCTGTGCTTACCAGGTGATATTTTGCTCCTGTAATATGTCAGTTTCAGAAATGGAGAGGAGTTTAAAAGAAGATGGACAGCAGCTGATGTGACTTTTAAATTAAAAAGAGTCCTTTTATTGCTAATATATTAGAGGTAGCATGGAGTGAAATCATTTTCAAGTTACCATTGATCTTTGTAAGTGGTATGATAAGAGCAGCTCTATGCGCTACAGTGATACAATTGGAATACAATCCATTTTTCATCAGATAGATTTATGATTTTATTATACCACAGAGAATAAACATAATAGTATACAGCATATATATATTTTTAAAAATAAAACATCGTGTAAAAAATTATGATCCAAAAGTGTGTAAATCACTTGAATGCTCATTTATTGCCTTCCAACTGAACAGCTTTTATAAAATTGTGTGACACGACAAATCAGATATGCTTTCCAGCAGTTGAATTACTTTCAGTATTTTTGAATTGTACCAATTCTATTTGGAGCTATAACGGGTGAGGAGTGGGGGAAAGCCTTCCATGTGAAATTGTTTTATTTGTAAGTTTTAAGGGAGTAAGTGGTTCATTCATTCACTATTATATAACCGAATTCTTGTTACAGTTGACTGTTAACTTTATTTTTGCAGAGGTAGGTGAAACTCATGAAACTATTATAATTGCTGGCCGGTTTTATGTGCAGTGATAGTCTTGGGTTATTCTAAAGAATGAAGTTGTGTTCATAATTTCATCAGGGCAGCCATTTGCCTTCAGTCATTCCCGTCACATTTGCTTTCACTTTTACTGTTTATCAGAACAAAGTCTTTGGATATTTTTTTTCCTAATTGGAGGATTAAGAATTAGTAAGAGTTAATTTTTGAGCAATCCATAGAACTAAACTTTCAGCTGATAATTCAATACTTCTAAGCAGAAAATAAGGTACAGAACTTGAAACCAAGCTTATAGAGCATAAGTTGAAAGTGATTGTAAGCATGAAATCTCTTCAGAGGTTGATTTTTTGTGTGTGTGTATTCAGTTCTTTCTTCAGTGAGTGATTGTCTGTCTTTTAGTGGTGATAAATTGATGATAGATTCTATGACGCTGTAGGATTGTGAGATGTTCTAGGTCTTCAACAGAGCAATTACTCAGAATTTGACAAAATTATTTGCTAATAATTGTGTCTCCACGATATGCTGGAGATTATATCTTTGTGAGGCTTTTCGCAAAGGCTTAATTTGACTTCAATCTGATAAACTTCAACCTGACCTTCTGTCTAATTAATGGTAATTCAGTCATCTTGGATTTTGATGAAGGTCTTTTTTGAAGGGCTCCGGTGAGATCAATGTTAAGAAGTGCTTATAGCATTGTGTCTTGTCCCATAACTGTTCAATATAAATTGTAATCATTATTTGAGCAACTGACAAGATCCTTAACTTGCACATAATAGGACTGTCTGGAAAGTACCTCAATAAGGATATTAGTGTGACAGTTTGTAGTTGTTGATCATAACTTTGCATAGGAATGCTTCCCACTTCCAATACCTCACAACACAGGGACTGAGGAGTTTCAAACAAGGTATGAAGCACTGCTGTCTCATTCCATTTTCCTGTATCAGAATTGGGGTGTGCAAGGGCTCATGTGTTTTTAAATTGAGATGTGCTGCAGGAGTTATCTTTCTCTTTTATTTTGAAGAAAATCTTGGCATCTCCATCCAGAAGTAAAGTTTTGTGGTCAATCTTTCCGTCAGTTTAGTATTACTCCTTCCGGAATAATATTTAACTTCATTCTTATTGGCCTTATTTTATATTTTTAATAGAACTTAGATACAAATATGAATAACAATTATGCAGTCAAACTATGAAAAAACATGCTAATGTACACCCAAATATGAGGTGATAACAAAACCTATGCCATTAGCAATAGCAGCTTTGCTTTCTGGCTTTCTTCTCTGCTGTTGATGTCAGCATGGTGAAGAACATAAAATATGAAAAGGAATTTTGTCTCTTTATGCAGTTAGGTTAATCAGAGTGAGAAAATGGACAGGCCAGAAAGAATAAATTCATGATCAGGTAGACTCGAGTGGAAGAGTGTAAGCATTACAGGACTGGAAACATAATAATCTCATTTTTTTCAGAATTTTAGAAATCCTAAGATATATGTTGTACCAGGAGTGTTACTGTAGGTTATCGTAAGCATTGCAGGAACATGCAAGATTATAAATAGTCATTTTTTGTAAAACCTCTTGTTTCTGTTCAGGATAAAGTTATCAAAATATTTTTTGCATGAAGCTTTATGTTGTTGTTCAGTTAGATTGTATCTAGCAGTTTAAGAGTTACTAGAAGACAAGTTATTCATATTTTTTGTTAACTTGCTATTTATGAACACACAGTAGTGCTTAGGCATCAGCAGTGACCTCATGAAATTGCCTGCAGATCATGGGAAATTTTCTGAATATTTCCTTTTTGGCAGGTCAGCTTTCATGAAATAAAACAAAATGTTTGTTTAATCATGGGAGAAAGTGTAACAATGAAAATGCCTGTGGGATTTATACTGGTAAAGATCTTTCTCAAAGATCTCTTACTGCTTGAAGTGTACACCAGGTCCTCTGACACACAGGTTTCCAAATGATGTGACTGATTTCGTACAAAATGCCGTGTATCTTTAGCAGTCAAGTTTTTAATGAATATACATGATAATAACAAAGTAGTATTATGTTAGTGCTTCTATCTTCAAAAAACAGTGGAAACAATTATTAATTTTAAAACAAACTGTCTGTTCGTAATAAAAGACACGTAAACTCTGATTCTAGAAGCAGATCTCCATGAATATGAGGATCTTAAGCATAAGTAACATGAGGTTTAAAGATAATTTCACTTTATAGCTTAGCAGTTTAATTTAACCAATCTCATTGTCATTTTATGGCTGTTCCATATGCTATATGAAATAAATTGAAACAGTGCTTGTTAGAAATTGAAAGGAGTTAGAGGATCATCCTTCAACTTACTTATAGTAATCTTAGGCAATGGAAAATGATACATGGAGACAGCAACCCTCATTTTGATACTGTGCTTTTCAAAATAATGTTGTATCAGTATGACAGTGCTTACACTATCAGTTTCATTGTAGTACTTGGTTTGTAACTGTTTGTCCATTGATGCAGCAACTTAAAAAGCAGTCTCTCCACATGATTAGGTTATTCCTAATAACTGTCATGAATTTAATAAATACAAGCACCTAGGACTTTTCAGATTCAGACTGTCTCTCTACAGTGGGAATACTTACCAAATGGTATCAGCTTGGTACTCCAGAAAAGCATTCCAGTGTGGACACAGATAACATAAAAGAACTTTGCTTAGTTTAAAAAACAAAACAAAACAAAGCCAACCCTCACTGGTAAAAAGGAGAAGGTATTTCAGTGAAATAATTTTATCTTGTGTAATGGTACACCAACTGCAAGCATTGATGTGCCCACAGAGGCTCAAGACACTCCTTGTGTGGGACTAAGGATTTCTTTCTTGAAAAACTGTTAATATTACAAAAATCCGTGTGAACATAACTATCAGATTTCTTTACTCCAGAGAACAGTTAATTTTTTCTCAGAGCTTTTATATTCCGCTCCTTGTTTAGTAGTTTGGTGACTATTTTTTTCTGCTTATGTCTGAGCAGTTCCACAGGTTCAAATAAAAGTGGAATAATCTGTGAAAGGCAAATTAATTGAGGGCTGTAAAATACACTATCTGATTTAAGTCCTTGTGTCACAAACTGCTAAAGATGGTGAAAATATTTTGAGAAATCTTAACATTTTTTTTTCTTGTTTTTTTTGATTCTTCTTTGGCATCTCCTAATGACCACTGTCAGGGACCTGGAGACCTTCCATCTGACCAGGAACAGCTATTCTAATGTTGTTCCCATAGGCAGATTTCCAACAGAAAAATTAAGCAACTTCTGATTAGGTTCAGCAATGTCTCAGCTTTGGTACCTGAGCACCTAAAGCATGAATTGGATCACTCACCTTGTCATTAAGGTTTAGAATTTCAGAGGGTGTTTCAAAAAATTTAGATATGGAGCACAGAACCAGTGAACAATAGTAGACAGGGAAGAAGCGTTAAGTACTGAACTATGTCTGATTTCCGCATTGTATTCCAAATCTTGTGTTCCTGATTTAGATAGGGTTGCACAGGCGCATGGTTGTATTTTTCTGTTGGCTGCACATGATTTTAAGACAATTTACACTCCCATCGTATGTGTATAGTTTCAGTTGACATCGTCTGGGTTGATGCCTCAATTTGTTCAACAGAAGGAGCTTATTTACTACACTGAACTTACTAAAATATATTTGCAGTTAAACCTTAATGAAAAAGTATTAACTGGGAGAAAAAATGGAATTCGGCACTTTGTATGGCTTTTTGTAATTGTATTTTTAAGGATATAATTCATTAAGTACATTAAGCACATTTTCACATCAAAATTATATATTTTGCTTACAGTTTTTAAAACTTCAGCAAATTTGCTTTCTAAAAAAGGAAACCAAAGTCTTGTTCTCCCTACACTGATACAAACTTTAAAAGTTTTAAATACTAGCCTACACTGATACGAACTTTTAAAGTTTTAAATACTAGCCTTCATAGTGAGAATAATTTTAATCCTATTTGGCCAATGTCTTGTATTTAAAATGATGGCTTTCTAAACCCAGATAATACACAATAAATTTTTCTTTCAGAAGTAACCAAATTCCTAAATATTAAATTTAATCCTGTAATTAATGTAAAGGAATAAGTACCTATAATTAGCCATGTTCTTGTAAACTAATTGTTGACAAAAATCTTAAATAGCAAAGCTTTTGAGACCATGTTTACCTACAGTATGCTGTAAGTAAACAAGATGAAAATATTTTTATTCAGTCAAAATCCTAATTCAATGTTTACTTTATTGGGATAAAAGGATTAAATAAAATGAAGGGATTTATCATGATTTGTACTTACAGGAGGGGCCATTGAAACTTATCCACTTAAGCTCCTTATCAGTGTTGGGACAAATAACCAAGATACCTGGTGCTAAAAAGGCTGTAGCCTATTCATAGCTTGTAGTTTATTGGCTTGCACACAGATTCATATGTCAAAGATGAGTGTGAAAACTGATTTCTAATTGAAGCAGAATGGCACAGACTGACAACAGTAGTCAGTCTTATAATGTATAATGCTTTAATCTCTTGGGTATGTTTGGATGAGACCACATCAGCACACCGTAATAAAAGCCGTTGGTAGTGTCCCAGGAGTCAAGGTGTGTGAACAAGGTGTTTAGTTTCATAGTCCTGAGAACAGGTTTCACAGTATAAAAAGACATGCCAGTCTCTTGTCAAGTTTAGAATTGGTATTCATGGCTGGGCTATCCTGTTAGGAAACCAAGTGTGCCACTGGCAGGGAGTAATTGTTTTTCATGGAGTTCCTTTGTGCTCCTGATAAGGTCGTTTTGATGGTGGAAAGATACTTCTTCAGTGCACTTAATTTTGAACTCTTTGTGTCAATTTTATGGAAGTGTTTTACAGGCCAACCAAGTGTTCAGAAGTTTTAAAAGTTTTTATATATTTTAGCACTGGCTGTACTTACTGAATTTGGTTTCTGAAGATAATGGAGCTGTAAAATGTGGTGACTTCATTTTGGTAGAGTGGATACACTTTGAATGGTTTAGCTCATGTCTTTTAAGCATAAAACAAGTACACACATAATTCTTAATGGATACAATTAAATATGGGAAAATAAGCTGTTCAGAAAGACCTATTTATTTTGGTGAAATTTTTTTAGAAGTTGTATAGTCATAGTTTCGGAAACAATTTATGTTTTTTTTCCTGAGATTCAAAATGCTGCACTTACGTTCTTATGATCGTCCCTGCAATCTATAATTGTAGTTGATGCAGTTTTCATATTGAGCTTGTTATTATTTAGTACTGCATTTTAAAGAAAAAAAAAGGCAAAAAGCGAAATCTATTGTAGATGATATGTCTTGATGGCATTCTCAAAAAAAATTTACTCTCTTTTGTGCTTGTTGTAGGTAACTTAAAAATAAAAGGAAAATGCAGACTACTGTTTATCTCTGAACTTAATTTAGTGTGATCATTTTATTATTTTTTTCCCACGGTTGTTTTAAAATGTTGATTCAAACTAACAGACTCCGTTCCCAAAGGTATGGATGACACTGATTTGCTTTATTGCTGTTGATCACAATGAGACAGCTCACAGGAATTTAGGATACGTTGCATAACATCTCTAAAAGAATAAAATGCAAATCACTCAATAAAGGTGAAAATCCAGTAGAAAATCAAATAAATACTTCTTCCACATCCTGAAAACAGTACTGCAGGCAGAATTAAATGACAAAGTATAGTCAGTGGGTGATATGCAGAAAGGCCTTTCATCACTGATTTCTCTTCAGCAATTGATATGGGTTAGTAGTGTTTAAGATACTTTTTAAAAATTCATGTTCAAAGCATGTTATATTTTTAATAAAAATATTTTACTCCCCAAAGACGACATTTCATAAGAAATGCATCGTTCCATACAGAGAAGTTATGCAGAATAAAATTAGAAGTTTTTTTCAAGGTTACCAAGGTTTTTTTCTGAAAACTGCAGGTCTTTAATTTGGTATTTTTGTCGCGGCTTGTATTAAACTGAAAGATATTATTTGTTTTCCAGTTTCTTTTCTTCCTTCTCCTCTCGTGCTCCTTTTCTTCTCTTTCTGTCCTCTTTTCTAATCTTCTCTTGTCTTCTTTTGCCAAAGCTAGTCAAGGTTGAAAATGTTACAGTGTAGTTGAAGAAAAACATCCATACGTCATGTCTATAAAAGAGAGGCACGTAGCAGTATAACGGGCAAGTTTGTTGTTTGGTTGATGTCATGAAAATAGAAAGTAATACAATCAAAAGTATCAGACACTGAAATACCTGTAGAGAGCCGAGTCTCATCTAATCCTGTAACTCTACAGAGATGGAAAGAACTAAATATTAATTTGTGTTAAACCTTGCATCTCTTATCAGCTGTAAGAACATAAATGGAATAGCTAACATACTCCAAAACAAAATTCAGATGGTAGTGAGAATCACTTTACACTTCAATAAAACAAAACTGGCATCAGTCTTGTTGTTGGCTCTGTTTGTACTAAACCTAGATCTGCCTAGATCTAGTCAATACCATTTTTCTCACTGAAACTATGTAAAATATTAAGCATTGCTTTTAAAAAAAAAAATAGTCCTGAAATATTGAAAAAATGTTTTTGTAGGAAATTTTATAGAGTTAGGTTGTGTCTGGATTTTTCTTTTTTAATGTTTTCATGTAAGTGTCCACGCAAATAGAAATAAAATAATTTTGGATACTCAGTTGTCCTTGTGATTTTTGCAACTGAAATTCCTGTAGTAACCATACCAGTCACACCTGATTTCATAAACAGGATTATGATGTTTTCTTTCAAGTGTTCTAATGACGAAAACAAGAAAGAAAAGATCTGCTCTCTCAGCACAGCTGACTCTAAAATTCTTTTCAGCATTTTCTGTGGTGTCAGTGGGTCTTTAAGAAGTCGTTAATGTATGTTATGTATTATAAAACAACTGCTGATTGCTAAAGTAGCAAAATGACACATTCACCTTTGAATATGGTAGTTGATTCAGTTTATATTCTCTGCTTTAGCTAATTAAGCACCAAGGACCAGATCTTAGGTTGGATGATGTTTTATTCACTAACTACTTTATTTAAAAGTACAAGATTGTTTGAGAACTGAGGCAGTACTTTTACGAAGGATGATACAGTCTGGCCTGAAGGAAATTTATTTTAGCTCTAGCTCGACTATATTTAAACGTTAATCCTGCAAATTCAGACCCCATTTTGTGAGAGTAATTTAACCTATGAAAAAGGACTAGAGTAACATTAATTCGAAGTAGTTTTTCCTTTTGAAATATGGAATATATAAAATGCATTTATCTCCCAAATCATGAAAAAAAATAAACACCATGATTTTTTGTTGTTTTTTTTTTTTAGCATAGAACGGTGTCTTAATGACCTGCAATCAGAAGTGAATGAAATATGTACCGAGGAAATACTGCAAAGCACAAATGACTGTCTTCAGTGGCTAAACAACTGCAGTTTTAGTTCTCTGAGACCTTCTTCCACACACCATGGAGAGCTGATGGAGTTTCTTAGGACCCTGGTAAAAATAATTTGCTAAAGACTTTAATGTTTGGGAAAGATGGTTATATGATGTGGCGGGGCATTGAGCTTAGTTAGTTTTCTCATTTCAGTCTTCACTGTTGTGGGGAGAGTTCAGAAATTTTGTTATAAAGCTTAGTACTGTTTTTGTGTCCACAGCAGGGAGTTATGTTTCCTTTTGATCGTGCCTTAAATAGACAAACTTGGGACAAAATCTTTGCTGATACTACCACATGTTCAGCACTGCTAGGATGTTTCATAAACACATTGGTAAAAACTGTCTGAAGTTACTGTCTACACCAAGGCTGTTAACGCTTGCTCTTCACTTGTATCAGTATGAATTTAACTCATCTAATACAGATTATTGTCCTTTATTCATTATTTAAGCATTAACTTCCTATCTACTTTTTTTAATTAGAAATGTGGGAACTACATCCATTGCGTAACCAGAAATCAAATTTCACTTCAACAAAAAATTCCACCGTTTTAGCAGGCATTTTTAGCCAAATTTTTTTTTTGAAGTTAACTGTAGAATGTATTTGTGGAAATGGAAGTCTGGAAAATTGAACTGACTAGAGAAGTGGAGAATGATACCTCAGTAAATGACAGCCTGCAGGTTTCTGTATGAGCCATGTATATCTGTGTTCATATGATGTACATATGTAAGAGTGTCAAAACAAATAAACAGTATCCAGTGGATTGTTCTTTGTCACGTCCATGTCATGTTTTAGTTGTAGGACATGAACACCTTTAGGCTAAGATTGGCTGCATTGGCAGAGGAAAAATGCTGTGGAGAAGTGGAGTATTTTCTCCTTTGCGACTATCTCCTGGCTAGAAATCAAGCTTCATCAAATCGCCTCTCATTTTTTAACTTTTGAAACTGGTTGTTGATGTTTCAGTCAGCCTTGAATCTGCTGGATATTAAGCTGTGTCAAATGGGGTCATCTTAGGAAACACCAGGTCTTTAATGTTCATGTGGTGAAGTGATTTTGTCCCCTTCTAACACAGGTAATCGGCATGAACGTTGCTGTTAATAATCATGCCGCCCAAGGATGTCAGAGCCTGCTACATGTTATACTTGATCTAGACAAAATGAGAGAATCCCAGAAAATGCTGACTTATGTAGTCTTTTGTTACTCTGCTTAGTCCAGTTAGATCCTTAGTTAAAGCCCTTCAGAAGAGGGCATGGCCATGATGACTTGTGTCCACTCCCGTCTCTCTTCCTTCTCCAAAGCCTATTCCAGCCATGTACCTGAACACCAGGTGGCGGCATTTGTTTGGGAAACACCAGAATGTCCCCATCTCTGGCATACTTCGGGTATGTCAGATACAAAACGTGCTTTCTGGCTCTGCAGCCTCCCAGGAGCATACTGACTGCATGACAGTCTGGCTGTGGGATGCAGAGTCCAGTTAAGCTTTGAGAATGGCTCCGTGGCAGGCTGCTAAACACACAGCAAAGTGTGAGAAGCCTTGAAGTCTCAATTCTGCACAGTTTGTCAGGAAAACATCTGTGGAAATCAGGAACTTGGACGTCGATGTTTCCAGGCTCATGGATGCTTGGATAATGCAGCCTGTTGTGCAGATGAGACTACAGATGAAAAGTGTTTATGCATTAGCATAGACAATCCATCTGCAAGAAGTTATACTCGCAGTAGATAATCTTTAGCTCCATAAACAGGTCTGCAGCAAACTATTTTCAATAATATTCAGCATTAATGAGATTATTACAATCTGACCTTTCTTAAATGTGCATCTCCACCAAATGAACTAATTACTTGGTTGACTTAATTTCTCACTTGCAAGATTTTAATTAAGTGTCATATAATACATCTTCAATAATACTAACCTTCCTCTACTTCAGGCCAATATCCCTATTCACTGTTACCCTTATTATGTGTATTGATTTTGTTAGGGATTTTGTTTATCTTTTAAGCTGCTAGAACAATTAAAAAAAATAGCACAAAGTTCTGTATGTGCTTTGGCTGTGGTGCTGTATTTAGATTTATTGTTAGCGTGCTATTCTCATGCATTTGTGAACTCATGTAATTGTGGAGAGGTTCTTCATGAAGTCTGAAAATGTCAATTATGTGAAATTTCATCACTCTGTGTACTGTTTTGTAATTGTAAATATTTAAAAGCTGAAAATGTACCTGAACGTATTGTCATTACATTCTGTTCCTGCTAAACCAATGACAAAGTCTTTTTTTTAACAAAATCTGCATCTTATTGGATTTGTGTATTGATATGATAGGTAGTAGTCTATAGTAGGTACTAGTCCAGTTGGTAGACCGCAAATGTTTTCCTGTAGATTATTGTCACTAACTTTCTGTGCTTGTAAGAGAACTTTTCATGCTTTTCTAAAACCTTTGGATACTAATTTGGATCTTTTTCTCTTGAATGGTTTTGGCATCATCTTCTGAAGTATCTTTACAGGTTATTTTTTAAATAGAAAAGCCTATGTCAATATAGGCAATGTTCAAAGAGATTTGATGACACTGTGTTTTCCGAGCTTCAAAGTTCACTTCAGGGGCTCTTTTTCTGAGTAACACTAAGTCTAAGACGGCATCTGCAAGCTCCCTAGTTTTAATGCTTGAGTTTAAGTTGCAAAGGGCTTGAAACAATACTTTGATTCTTATTGGCTTTCATGAGTAAAAATGTTTCTGCTAATCATTAAAAAAAAACAGCAGTGGGGATTTGCTTGGGAGATGGTTTGGATTCATCGTCCAAAGGCATCAGTTACATTTGCTGTTTTGACAGCTTCTCTTGTTTTGTTCATTTCAGAATATAGTATTTGAGCATAATTCATAAAACAAATCTAACCTTTCAATTCCAGAAGTCTTCTTGTGGAGACTCGATTCTTCAACATGGTGGTTAGTGATTAGGTTTCAGTTTACACGCTGAGGCATGTTCTATTTGGGGCCATAAAACTTTGTGGAATACTTCAGCAGATAATAAAGGAAAATCAAATCAGTCTTATGTATGTGAATATTGATATGTATGATTTAAGATTTTAACTAGTTACACATATTTCTGTCACATGCACATGATTTTGTAGGATGATACTTGACTGCTAATTTCCTTTATTATTCTTCCACATGTGTTTCCTGCTTAAAAGTAAAAAAATTCATAGGAAGCATTCTGAAATAAAGATCTGAAATGGAGGAAAAATAGCTAGCCTATTATTTTAAAGACTTTCCTTTATGGGAGGCAATCATACTCTCTGTTTTTTGTTCAGAATTAGCTACTGTGGTACAAGTCTTTTAATTTTAATTTTCATCATGGAGCACTCCAGTTTTGCATCATCTAGAATAAAGAATAGGAGGTCTGATACTGAAAATTTTGGTGACTCAAAAGCGAGGGGGGGGGAGCTGACAAAATTTTTTGTTCTAAATTTTGTCTTTTTTGTAGTTTTATAAGCTATGTACTGATCAAAGCTTGCTACAGCAGAAAAATTGAACATTTTACATTGGAAATTATTATATTTAAGCAGTATCATACTGAAATTTTATTTGTTTCTCTCTTTCAAAATGGGAAAAGAAATAAAACTAATCATTTGCTCAGATACTGTAGGTTAAAGAAATCGGTAGTTCTGAAGGTGGAACATTGCAAACAGTTACTTTACTAGCCTTGCTTTATAGGATGGAGTATAGATGGGAGACCCAGATAAAGGACAGGAGTAGAAAGACCTACCCTTGTGTGATTTGCCACAACTCTTTTCTCTGTTGGAGAGCTGTAATAGGAGATGGGGGAGCAAGTGACAGGGCGTCGAGATCCTGATTCACTTATGGCTTGCCTGCTGGGGTTCCTGAAACCTAGAGTATCACTGGTTTCACTCAGTTTTCTTGTGACTGTGGTGGGGAAATCAGTAGTCAGCTCTAGTGCAGTGGGAGGATTGAGAGCAGGTCTTTACAGATAAAAAGTTGATGGGCCTAGGACTGTGGCCAAAGCCAAACTGCAGTAGGAAAAGTGTTGAGGATGTGGGAAATGGGTTTATAACAGGTAAATTTTTTTCTCTGGGAGAGGAAGGACATTTTGGTGTCCCGTGACAAAAAAAAAGCTGCAAAGTGCTGTTTAAATCTTTGCCATTCTGGGACAAGTAGAAAGCAGTGAGCTGTGACAAGAGGACCTGCTGTTTGCTGAATAGTCTGTTAACCTGAAGCAACTCTAAGGTCAAGATCCTGGCTGTGGACCAAGAGGAAGCTCTTCAGGCTGAGATGAACTCGGACCAGCGCACGCGTCCGTGTGCTTTCACTTGCTTTGTTAACTGGATTCCTTCTTCTCCCCCAGCCCGTATAGCTGAGGTGTAGTTAGAGGTTGCTGTGTTGTCAATGTATCAGTCTGCATCTTGATTTGACAGGATACACGGCTTCTTATTCTTCTGCCCTGTGTGATCTAAGCCCATTCAATTCTTAACAAGTTTTCAGTTTCAGTTCTTTAAGGGGGTCCTGGGAAGATTATTTTATCTTTAGAATGGCGTTTTTGATGGTTGCCTGCTGAGCCAGAACATAGAAAGCAACAATGTTTCATTTTATAAATTCCTGTCTTCGTTTTATGAGCAAAACCTGTCATTATCTGTGTAAATCTTTAGTAATTTTTCATACCATTTTCTTTCAAAGATGTGTGTGTGGACAACAAACAGGCTGCCAAGGCTTACCTAATGAGCTTTCCAAAGCCTTCCTTTGAATTGTAGGTTAGAATTGATTGAGAAAAGAGATTGAGGATGTAAGAGAGATGGGAAGAGGAGTGTGAGGTATTGAAGCAGGTAGACAAGGAGATGGATTGGCACATAAATCCATGGGAATACAGGCTTTGTTGCTTCTGTTTTTTATATAGCAATCTGTTTGAGTCTCTTATTTGCTGGTAAGGTAATTAGCATTGGAAACAATTGGTACTCTGGCATGAAGCTGTTCTTTTTATGAACCACAATTAACAAAACATTGCTAAAATACTGTCTGATTTACCTTTGTTAGCAAAGCTTGCTGAAGAATGAGCAAAATCAAGAAGAAATGATTCTTCACTTCCTTCTGGATCTCTCTAGTCAGTGTGGTGTCTCATTTCCCTGTACTCCAAGTGGGACGTCTTTTGAGCTAACATCTTCCCTTCATGCCGTTGAGGATGATTCAACTATGGATGTGAAATCTCTCTGGGATGATGTGAGATTGCGTCTTCGACGGTTTTTAGTAAATAGACTGCAAAGTCAAGAAGAAACAAATACTAATGCTTTACAACAACAGGTGGAGTTTAAAACTCAGTGCATACAGCAACTTTTGTTTCTTTATCCTGAATCAGAAGTCTTAAAGAAGTATCAAAATATGCGGAATAAACTGGTTAGCGATCTTCTACAGAACTGTATTTTGTCTAGTTGTGGTGAAACAAATTTTGATAAGGTGGTTCATGGTTACCAAAGTTCCATACCCACATTGTGCACAATGATAAAAGAGGATTTGTATATATTAAGTGAAATTATTGATCCTTCTTCATCACTGAATTTTATTAATGAAACTTATCTGGATACCATCACTGAAGAAATGACAGTTCTTCTTGAAAGACTTTGTGAGCTGCAGTTCAAAGAAAATGCTCTACACAGAGTTAAGGCAAACAAGATTTCAAAGAAGCATAGAGGAACAGTTCATGCTGCGGGTTAGTAGCCTTACTCTGCGTTCATTGTTGTTAGGTATTATTTTAATCGTACTATTCTTTTTCAATATACTTGATTATTGCCTATGAAGAGAGAGGCCTGAGATTATTAATTACAGCTTTATGTTTTAACCATATTACTGCAGTTGAATTATAGACTGTGTCAGAATTATTATGAAAAAGGTTTTAAAGTAAGAGAGAGTATCTTATGCTTATGTATGTAGAAACCCCCTTATAATTCACTGGATAACATTGTCATGTCATAGTAATTTCTTTCAGTCTAACTTATTCCAACTGCTTAAATATATAATAGAATAAGAACTATTTAATCCAGGTTTAAAAACCCACAAACTTCTACCCCCACTTTTTTCGAATTGTCAGGAGTTTAAAGGAGGTTATAGGAAAGTCCATACAATAATGTGACCTTGAAATAGACACAGATTCATACATCAGAGCTGACCCAAAAACTTACTATGCAGACTCTAATTCTAAAAAAAAATTACATTTTCTAGTCTTGTGAAAGTACGGTAAGTTAGAGTTAATGCTACCTGGTCATTTCTTCTTGTTCTAAGGAATTTAAGGCAGGAAAAGAATCTGTTATTGAAGTGGTATTTTCTGTCCTTTCTTTTTACAGTCGGTGAAACCGACATGCTAATTTCCAAAGGGAGGAATCAAAGCTTTAGAAAAAAATCATACAGAATGGAAACTTTCATAACATAATTGCATGATTGTATGTAATTGCTTTTTCAGTGCAGAGTCTTGAACACTCCTCTGTGCAACAGCTGTTTGTTTAAAACATAGCCTTTCCATAAAGGTGAAGCAGTTTGCAGACAAAAAATATTAAAAGTTCAGAATAATGTGAAACATACAGAAACAGAAGATAGATCTTTTGGTTGTACAACATAAAGGATGAGTGAGGTGATGATTTGCCAGGTCTATGCAGAAGAAAATTATACTCTTGTGAGTTTTAAAGTCAATATACATGTTAATGTAAGTCAGCTAGAAATTCCACTGGAAGAAATGCAGAAAGAATTTTTAACAGGAGCTGAAATATGGAGGAAAATGTGGAACATACAAAAGATAAGGTAGGGGAAGAGGCATGCAGACAGATAATGTGAAAGTATGAGAAGTTCGGTGTAAAGCTTAAATATTAGTGGGATTGAATGTTGGTGGAAAACAAGGAGAAGCAATGTCAGAGTATTGTTGACTTACGGAATAAATGACAAGAAATATATCTTTGTGCTACACAGTGAGACGGGAGTGAAAGGATGAACTGACAAAAAAAATACTGTTAGGGAACTGGAAGTTTGTAACTTAATTTTTCTTTCAATCTCAAAACAACTCGCAAAGGTGGGGAAGTTCAGTTGTCTCCATTTTACATCTAAAACATGGAGATTAAAGTGGCCATAAGGGATGCTCTCTGAAAAAAACTATGCATTAACTGCTTCTATGTTACAAGAAGGAAAGGAACAATCCTTCAATCTATTAAGATAGTAAATCGTGTCTTTACGTGGTTTTGTGCCAGCACATCTATCAGGACAGATTTCCAGGGCGTAGTTCTATTGTATATTCAAAAGAACAGAGAAAGATTAAAATATACGAAGTAAATCTTGGGAGCTGCTTAAAACTTTTAAAACATTTGCCACAATTAATTAAAACAAAACAAAACAAAACCCCGAAATCAGTATTTCATAAACCGCACAGAAGGTTTTTATTTTGATTCAAAATGTATTGAAGGTCAGATCTGCAGGCACAGCAGCTGTCCCCTTAGCACCCATATGATGTGTTTAGAAATGGTGTGTGTTAATGTCATTTAATCCTCAAAATTACTTTCCTCGCAGTGGCTGTCATGCTCATGTCTTCATCTCTTCACGGTGTAGTTCTTCATATTATTTTACTTCAAGAGGCTGGTGTGGGAGGAGGCAAGCACTGGTTTGCCTGCAGTCTCTCTGACTAGTTTTCTGCAGAACCGGACTGTTCTAGATGATCTGTGGTAACAGACTGCAGGCAGTCAAACAATAAAACGACAATGGTGAAGTCAGCAGGCTGGAGCAAAAGAGGGGGTCACACAATCACAGAATGTTCGGGGTTGGAAGGGTCAGAGTTACGAAATTACATAGAATTTTTTTTTTCATTTTGTGTAATAGTGAATTATTTGGTATTATTAACCAACTGAACAAAATCTAGACCTTGTATCTGAGCTCATATGTGAAGGATCTTTTCTGGAAAGAGATTTCTGTCTTCTGAATGTTTGAATATACTACATTTGTACCATACTAAGTCAGAAAAAGGCACTTTTCTTTTGGAATTGAAGTGTTCAGAAAGCAATTCACACTGAAACGACTATTCTGGAAAAAATTCTGCAGAATACTGTTTTGGACGGTTTATAACCATGGACAAGTTCTTAGTGTCAAGTGGCTTTTCCTGCTTGAAACTCCTATTAAATTCTCATACCTTTGCTGCTTTCCCACAAAGGAGAGTGGAAGTCTGTATTTATACACAGGTTAAGTTAAAAGAGCTTTAATAGGTTGCTTTGACAGTGATACTTAGTTTGGTAGTATCAGAAAAAAAGCATGCTGAAGTATGGAGGGAAGGGGAGAAAGGGAAGGAGATTTTTTTTTCATAGCTAAAAGACAGCTGTACCAATGTGTTGCTTATTTTTTGATGTGTGTTGCCTCTGCCCTCTGGGAACCACCACACCAGCACGTTTCAGAACAGCAAAATAATTTAATGTAGGGCATTCAATTGGGACTGTTATCCCAGAGGTGAAAGAAGGGGTTGTGTTTGCTTAGTCCACCCTAAGAGAAATGTCGGTTTTGGTTTTTTTCTTTGTTTTTTTGTTTTCCATAAGAACTGCTGTAATTGATCCTTCTCTATAGGCGAGGGAAAAATAGCATAAATAAATGAAACAATGCTAGAACCTTGGATAACTTCATATTTATGACCTACTTCTGTCAGGAAAATACAAGTAGTCTATAACAAGCTTTAACAGAGTGATAAATCTTTAAAATATTTCATATGTAACAATCTATTTGTGAAGTAAGGAATTAACATTTTTGTTTTCATACTGTATTAGAACAGTTATTTGTCAAGTACTATAACGAGATTGTATCTGTTTATCAGGACTGAGGATGAGCATGGTTTGAGAGAGAAGGTGGCAAAACAGCATGTGAAAAAAGGCACGTTCTTTGGGACTTGGCATCTTTCATTGCCAAGTCTAGTGGAGGCAGGTGGTTTGATGTTAGAACTTCATCCTGTTCCCAGTTAAATCAATGACTTAATACCTTTAACAGTGCAGGATTCAGCCGTTAGTGTTTGGGCTACATTATTGTAATAGGCTTTTATCTAGCATGGGTCATAATTTCTCTGTATTCTCAGCACATCTTCAGTGTTTCCAGTCTGCTAAAATGATGTCCGAGGAATGTTTCCCAGTGCCCTCCCCTCCAATATTTTTTGATGGAATTTTGTGAGATGTTCTTTCAGCCTTCTATTGTATTAATCATATGTGTCTTTCAAAAGTTTATGTAATGTTACAGTATTGCAAAAAACACTAAAAATGCTATGTATCTGTTAACATACTTAGCATAGAAAGAATCATGCAGATACCTGGTTTTCAGCTTATCTCTTAGGATTTTTTTCTTCAACTTCCAATGTGATATTCCTCAGAAGTTTTTTTGCAGTAAGTCTATTAAATGTGGATTGTGCTTTTACCTTTTCAACATTTTTTGTGTTCTTTTGTTTACAAAAATGTTAAGCTAGTTTAATTGGGCATTACTAACCTATCTTAATCATCTCTTTCAGACAAAGAAACAGCTACTTTTATAAGACATCAGCCAAAGAAACTTAAAAACCATGAAATTATAGACGTCATGTATTAGTGGAAGGTTTTCTTTGTTATTCATGTAATTTTTTCTATATATACAGAGAGAGTGTAAATACACATGTAGACTAATTAGCCTATTTTAAAATTTTCTGTGCTTAAAACTAAACAGAGATTAGAGCTTTGAGGGGTTTTTTTTGGTGACATATTCAAATTCATTGGCTTAATATTTTCTTTTAGTTACAAACTTGCCAGAGGAAAAGCAGCATTTTCCAATAAGATACATTTTTAGTATATTTAATAACTTTAAGTTACTAAAAGTTATACTTTTAGTATATTCAATAACTTTAAAATCTTAAATGGAATACTTTTTTTAAATCTTAGGCAATGCATAGTGTGTTCATCAAAATCAGTAGTTGATTATTTTTAAGAAAATATTATTGCAGAGTGGAGACAAAATGAAACGATGCACATTTGACTAAGAACATTTATAGCTACAAAGTAGTTAAATGACCTTCACTGATGTCTTTTAATATCCATATTTTATGCTTTTACCCCAGACTACTATCCTCTTACTTATGTGTCCAGCAGCCTTCCTTTCTCTTTTCTTTCTCCAGAATATGACCAACTTCCATTCTATTCTAAAGTTATATTCAAATGCAAACTGTGATTTAAATTATGATATTTTAAATTTATTATCTTTAAATATTCAGGAGTTCCTAAGGAATATATTGTGTTCATTGAACACCTGATGTGAATATGGCATATATCTAAACTTGAATAGAAGGGCTCAGGGTCAGGCATTGGACCAGGCTGCCCAGGGCAGTGGTAGAGTCTCCATCCCTGGAGGTGTTTAAAAAACATGCAGATGTGGCACTTCAGGACATGGTTTAGCAGGCATGGGGGTGTTAGAGTGACGGTTGGACTAGATGATCTTAGAGGGCTTTTCCAACTTACGATTCTATGATTGATTCTATGAATATTGTTTAAAGGAGCTGCATTTGTGCAGTGGAGTTGAGAGCAAGAAGAGAAACAGCCTTTGGAGCAACTTGTTGAAATGAAGGTAACTTTGGGACATTAAATAAAAGTACTTGGTAGGGAAAATCTATTTCAAGGTGACTTATCTTCATGTATTCCCAGCAATTTGCTGTCCAGCTAACTTGAAATACGAGTTTTGGGGTTT